GTGGACCCAGCTCTCAGACTTGACAAACTCCCCTGCTGGGATCCAGACCCCAAGCAGGCTGTCACAGCTTGGTACCACCAGCTGTCCTTTGGGTCATTGAGAAGCTGGCAGCACAATTCCATGTGTGTTAACAGCAGAGCACAAATCCAGGAAACACAAACCCAGCTCTTCTGCTGCCTCCAGCATGGTCCCAGAGAGCCATGGCATCTCTTCCCTCCCCACGCCACAAACCTTTTGGCCGGGGACCGTGGTTTTCATATTTGCAAACAAGAGTGTGAATCATGTGGGGCAAACCCGCTGGGCTTGGGGCAGTGTTTCTGATTTACACCGCTGTAAATTACTGCCTCTGCTTTCAAAAACGATGTTATTTTCTTGGACAGGGTCCCAGTAACTCTGCGAAGAAGGGAGTGGGAGAAATTCCTCATGGATGAATTTCTTATGATTTATTTGCCACCGAGCATCGTGCAACCACTGGCCTTGTGCAAGGCTGTGCTCCCCACGAAGAATGAGGGGGGACACGAGTGACCTGAGCTCGTTTGTCACCACCATCTGTCACCAGGGCCACGCAGAGAACCACGCACGGAGCAAGTGGAGGTCGACCTCCTGCTCCAGGGTCCTGGCAGGCTGGCAGCAGCAGGACAGGGCTGAGAAAAAGGCTTGTCCTGAGCATCCTGGGGAGAGGCCACACGGGCCCCCAGCACCGCTCTGCCCTCCAGGTGAGCAGGGCAGGGCTGCTGTGTGGTGCTGCTGCTCTTCAGCCTCCAAAGCAAGCCAGGCATCTTGGCTCATTCCCTCCCTTGGGCAACCCCATGGAGCTGCTTGGAGAAGCTTCAGCAAAAGGATTTATCCAGGGGTTTGTGTGGGTGTAAAAGTGCAAAACTTATTTCTTAAACAGACAAATGGAGATATGAACATCATAAAGTCACCCCAGAACATTGTGTTAATGTTTGAGGTGTCTGCAGCTCATGTGCTCTAAAAAAAAAATGTGCCACAGTGGATAGTGGCTCCACAGCACTTGGTGCTGTACAAACAAGGAATAAATTGGCTGCTTCTACCTAAGAAGGAGCTCACAAGGTTGTTTTTCACCACTGCAACAGAAAGGTGGAAGAAATAAAAGGAGATACAGGAGA